TACTTATACACGCTCCATACCTGGGTAAGACCTTGGATGGATGTCTCTTAGGACTGATAACTGTGAAGGTACCACAAGAGAGGTCTTCCTGAGTGATGGCCCCATTACCCAGTCCAGTGGGTTCACACATTAAGTGTTAACTGTGTACAGAATTAATGAAAGAATGGAGACATTAAGAACCTGTATCTCTTCAGTCTCAATTATGAGGACCCACCTTGAGTAAGGCCAGTGCTGATTTAGCCCCAAGAGTGTCAGAACATCACAACTCTGAAGGCCACCAGAAAGGACCAAAAGGAAAAAGCAACAAAACCTGAGTGGAAAGGGAGGGAAGCCACAGGAGAGGCAGCTAAATAGGAAAGGGAGGGAATGAAAAGGATGAATTACTTGCTAGAACAACACGTATCAAGCACGTACTACATGCCAGGCATATTAACTCATTAATCTTCTCAATGCTATTACTGAAAGTACTAATATTACCATTCCTGGATTTGAAGCCTCAGAATCAGAGAAATCAGAGAAGTTAAGCTACTTGCCCAAAATCACAGCTAATAATAGGCAAGACAAGATCTGAACTTGGAATCTTACTGCAAACCCCAACTCTATCCTGCTCTTACCAAAGTATATCACACCGAATTAACTATCCCACTAGTGAAAAAATAAAAATAAAAATGTGGTCAAAGGCAAATTTGGAAAATAGTAGATTAAAGGGCTTCTTTACTGACAGACTTCTCAGAGCTTTGAAATTGCTAATGATCCCTGTTAATGTCCAAGAGTTGACTGGAGTATACGTGCATCCCATAAGGATTTAACCAAGGACTGTTTGCTTGGGGAAGTACCTTGCTGGACCAGCCCCCACACTGAGAAGCACTAACCTCGTATGTGCGCCCAGGTTTTTAAGGGCCAGGCAAGGGAAGGCGCTGAGAGGGCAAAGTGGCAGAGACAATCAAAAACTCTGGAATCAAACTAGAGCTCTCCAGTCCCCGTCTGCCTCCTGCAGAGGTCCATCTAAGGGCCGCCATTTCTCCTGCCTGTGTGAGACAGGAAACCGTCTCCACTTGCCCACGGTGCTCTCTAACTGTGCAGCCTGCCCAGCTCTCTCTGCAGGGTGTCTTTCTTTGGTGGACTTCACCAGGGAAATTTCTCATGTGAGCTAATGATCACTGCCCTCAATTCTGAATACTGCCTGTCTCTTCTACATGTGTGAGGAGATTTGGCATTAAATCATTACAAGAAAAAAGGACGTATTACTTTGCCCTAATCTCAGAAAGAATTCTTAGAAAAACCTGAAGTTGATGGCTATTATATTCCACTGACGGAAGCATTAATGATTTGCTTAAAGCTAACAAGTTACATTCTGAGGCTCGTCATTGGAGGGCGCCAGGTAAGACACTTTTCTTCTAACTGCTGTAGAGTCGATTACGTGATAAGTGCTTGCTCCATGAAGCTCTGTTGTTCAAAGTTCAGTAAATATCTTTAAGCAGAAAGAGCAATTGTAGCTAAGTAACTATTTCTTGAATACTTTGAATCTCCTAACTACAGGGAGTCTGTCCCAAAGGACGCCATACACACATATGGAAAATGGGAAATTGTGGCCAAATGTACCTTCTTTATTTAGAAAACATTCATTACAAAATGTGAATATTTACAAAATATTTCTCTGCACGTTGAAACACACATATAAAATATAAAATAAAATATAATATTAATTTGTTAATTTTTCTATGTATGGCAACCTTTGGGATGCCCTGTATTTGCCCCATCAACATGTAAGCCAATCAGAAGCTCCACAGTGTTTCAGAGGTCAACCTGGAGAGAGGAACTGATAAATCTGCAACAGCCAGACTCAAGGCTCCAAGGCAATGAATGATGTCATGGAGAAGTTGCCCACGAGTCCTACAGGAATGACATCACTTAGCAAGTGTGTCTTGGGTTCCTAATCACAGCTTTTGAATCATCAAACTAAATCCTCTGAAAGAGTGCTCTCATCATGTCACTGCCCTACCCAAGAGACTTTTTATGGCTCCCCACTGCCAACAAAAGAAAGTTCAACTTGGTAGATTAGTATACAACGTATCTCTCAGCCTGCTTCCAATCCTCCTTTCTGCCTTCACCATCTCAGAATTGCCCCTGTTGGGCCTTCCTCTCCCCCCCCCTCCATGCTTTCTGCCATGAAGAAGCCCCTTCCACCCCTCTTCCACCCATATTTTGCCATTTGAAACTCAGAAAATGCTTTTCAACAAGTTCAGTTTCTACACACTGAAAATTTCCCCCAACCACAAAACCACCTTAGCTCTGTTTGACTCTCTTTCAGGTTAGAAGGGGAAATGACTTCTCTCTTTGGCTGACAACTTCCACTGGAGTTCAGTAATTCTCCTATTTTCTGGAAGATGAAATGCTTTACATCGTCCATGCCTGTGGTTTATATTTCACCAAGTGGTGTCGGCGCTGATATAGTAACCTCCCATTTTTATTGAGCGGCACACAATGTAATTGATGACATCTGCTGGGGCTGAGATTTTAAGTGAAGGCTATTCTCAGCTCTGCCTGCTCTCCCTGTGGCTCTGTATATAAATAGCTAACAGAAGCAACACCAGAGGTACAAAGTGGGGCCACTTGGCTAAGGTCCTCAATTATATTCCATAAAGTCATAAGGTTTTCTGGGAGGATTTATCTGAACCAACCCACTTTTCAAGCCTGCAGAGCTAAAAAATAGGGAGCAAGGTGGGCCTCGGCTGGATACAGTCACATCACTCCCAGGACAGAAAATTCCCCGTTTTGACTTGTAACCTAAGCAGGTTCAAATATCATGTTATTTTTGGTGCTCCACTTTCTGTCTTATCCCCCAGATCAAGGTCAGTTATCATTTAATCCCCACGTGGCAAATGATGCCTGCCTTCATGTGTTCCCTTCTCCAATGTTAGTGAAAGTAAAAACATCAACTTTTGGTAAAATAGATTTGTTCACAAACCTTAGGTATGAGTAAATACAATAGTTACTTAGACAATGTGTCATCTTGATAGCATAATAATCTATTTCTAGTTCTTGACCAAAAAGAATCAGTTCACTGGGTGACGCCTGTGTCTCAAAGGAGTAGGGCACTGGCCCCATATGCTGATGGTGGCAGATTCAAACCCAGCCCAGGCCAAAAAGTGAGAAAAAAAAAAAAGAATCAGTTCACTGACACTGTCAGGTGAGTTACCACTGTAAGCAAAAGCCTGGTAGGGTTGTTTGCAAGAAGGCTTATTTATCAGACACAGGGAATTTGTTGCTCTGTATCTGAGTGCTTTTCATAAATAAAGCTTCGTCCTTTTAAAAGAAAGTTTATAAAAATTGATAGAAAATTTCTTTTTTTTTTTTAATTGAATGGTAACTATGTATATCAATGCACTTCTGGGGTACAGTGTGGGGTTTTCACATGCAATCTGAAATACTTCCATCAAACTGGTCAACACAGCCTTCATGTCATTTTCTCAGTTATTGCTTTAAAACGTTCACATTCTACTCTTAGAAAGATTCACCTGTACCCCTATAAGGTAAACCTCAGAAGTGATCCCTCCAAACCCCCTCCCTCCACCCATTCCCCCCTCCCTTGTGATAGAAAATTTCTAAACTAAATTATGCATGCCTTCATATGCTTTCAGGCGAATCCTTATAATGATTCAGTCATTGTTAGAACTGCAAAGGAGTTAGGCTCAGAGAGGCTATGCGGATGGTCCATACAGAACCTCCAGAGGAAATCTGTCCTGGACTCACTGGCCCTCTACACACGCGTGCACACACACACAGCTCCCTCCTAGAGAATCACATGCTTCCCTGGCACACCTGCATCACAGGCAGTAACAGATCCGACTGCAAATTTTAACTGGTTTACCTGCTCCAGGGTGGGAGACACGGCTTCTCTGCTCTTTTTGCTTGGTGCTCATACACACAGTGGAAGCTCAATAAATGTTTGAGAATGAATAAATGCATGCATGAATGAACAAAATGTTGCACTACTTTGAGGCATGAGCTAAACACTTACATAGAAATTTTAATACCAATTTTGCTTATAAGAAAACCAAAGTCCCATTAAAGTAACAAAGCAAAGGGCAGAAAGGGGCACTTTCCACCCTATTACATGTCAATGCCTCCCTCGATTTCTTTATATCGAGCGGACCATATGCTCACATCCAATACTCAAGCTACAAAACTGAAGGTGATTCTCAGAAGCATGAACATTTTGAGATGTGGTAGTTAATACTGTTCCGCTGAGTTTCAGCATTAATTACATAGACACACTTGAAATAAGTACAATCCACCATCATTTTCAACATCAGGGTCTATGCCAATAGCAGCCACGCATGGAACAAAGGGGAAAGGGATGTAACTCACAGCAGGTCCTTATTGTGTCTTAAATAATTCACAGGAGGAGACTGCTAGTGATTTACAACAGCCATCATGAAACAGGTTCTATGCTTGCGGGGGTGGGTGGAAAAAGCCCTCCATGGACCAGACTCAGGTTAAGTGGTCAGTAAGCCAACTCTGAAACAAGATTCTACTTAGAAGTCATGAAGAAGTTATTTAACAAATGAAATATCAGTGTCCTTGAAAGTCTCCCAGTATTAACCTCTTTCTAGAAAGAAAGTTTTATTTTTATGGCTCTTGTGCATTGGGGAGCATCCCCAGTTACAGTCTGTTTCATGAATAAAAGTATGGGAGTGAGCCCGCAATTTACTAGGTTAATCTGATAACTATTTTACTATTTTTCTTAGCAAAGCCCACAAGTGATTATACCAGTTAATTCAGTTTTTAAAAACTGTTTAAAACTGTCCTAGACATAACCTCGGACAGATAACCAATTTGATAAATAATTTCTATCACCCCAGTCAATTCAGTCTGCAAAGTCAATAAAATCAGACAGTGAGCTGGCCTTAGTGGGAACATTAACTCAGCATGCAAGAAAGGAAAAATGAGACAGCACTTCCCAAGGACCATACAGCAAGAAATATCATATTCATTACCTTGGTCAAAGGGCTTGTTGGGATTCCAGTTTCTGAAATAATCATCCTGTATAAGGAAAAAACAGAAAACAAAAGGTCAGATTTCACAAAGCTTCTCACATAACTGCATAAAAACCCGCCTTCCTTCCCACCTCCCAGAACACAAAGGAAAACATTAACAGCTTAGAAATTTTTCCCCAAACAGGCATTAACATGCAATCAAAAATATCAATTTGCTCTTCAAATTCTTGTCTCTCAAACTGTATGTATTAAACACCATGAATAATAAAAAAACATTTCAGCCCACTATGGAAACAGCATTGCTCTTCTTGGTTTGACATATAAACCCAGACACCATCTCAGTACAAGGTACATTTGCTATCAATTATACCGTAGGCGATGCCTTGCTGCTCTCACTTATGATTAAGCCTCCGTGTTTGTAACAGCTGATAATTCAACTGTCAACATTTCTTTTACATGGAGACATATATCTTGTGGTGCACAGTTCCAGTTCTTCAACACAGAGGGTCACTCAAATGTTAAAATTAACCACAGGCACATCCCTTAGCTTAATATCCTTTTCCTCCAGGTACAGAAAGATGAAAAACAAAGACTAACCACTTTGGTCTCCTCAAAACCATGTCTTTCTTCCATACAGGTCTCCTCACTTTATGCTCTGAGCTAGAGACTTCATTACTTTGATATTGCAAGGGTCTCGGCCACTCACTCCTTCACGGCTATGTTAACCTCCTCTCCACTCCTAATAAGCCTTCCTTTCCAAACCACTGCTTCCTGCTCTTCATCCTTCCCCAGCACTCTTGGATCCCATTGTTCTCTGCCCGCAAAACTGAACAGTTTGCAAGTTGAAGAGGTGTCACCCATGCCCATCATCCATCCCCACAGTATCTTTAGGGCATTTGCCCCTTTTTAGTTAACATCCAGTTTATTCTCTGTGTGTGTTTTTGGCAGGTCTCTGCATGCTGCAGACAGTTTCAGAAAGCTGTCCAAAACAAGGCCTCAATTTCTCTTCTGGAAAAGTTAATTTACACCAACGCGCGCAATTAGTTTAAATTATTGTCCGCATTGTCTCTTGCTACAGTTTCTCTCTGACATAATCTCCTGTGAGTTTCATCAGCCTCTGTGTCATTCAATCACCTGGCTTTATTAGATCCTTGTTGAGTTCTCCTAAGCCTTTAAATAGATTTTAGAAAATTGGATTTAAAGTAAAATCAGAACATATTGTTTCTTAGCTAGTGATTCCATTTTGTGAAGCATGAATAAACATTAACTTCTTCCTCTGGATCCTGAGGATTCGGCACTCAAATTGTTAACTCCAAGGAACTGGCCCACTTTGTCCTGGCTTTAATTTTATGGGATAATTGGCCTTCTCACCCATCCATCGGGCTAAGATGCCTTTGAGATCTACACCATGAAATATCACTGAGAAAGTTTAAAACAATCTCTCTGCAATCTCTCTCTCCATTCACTATTTTAAATACAATTCTAATCTTTTGGAGTTGTGTTGTCTGAAACTCAGCCGACAGTATAACGTGATTTTAAGTTCAGGGCTAGGAGGTAGGAAGTTTAGCACCCAATTTCTTGGTTTGATGTCCAAAAATTCTCAGGCTCAGACAACCATGTTACCAACACATTCTGGTTTTCTCAAAAGCAGGAAACAAAGTAACCCAAGATGAACTCATTCTCCCTATTGGAGAAAAAAGTAACAAACCATCTTTCCTACTCGGTTCATCAGTGCCCTCTCCACATACAGAGGATAGCGCCACATCTAATGGCAATGTGGAATCTTATGAAATATCTTACACTTGAACATGCTGCTCTAATACGTGGAAGCCTTTGGAAGCTTAGGCTAAAGGAAAGGAGTCAAAGACAAGTTCCTTTACTTTAATTTCACACGTCACATTCTCTTTGATGTCAAAGAAAGGTTTGAGCAAGTCTCAAGAACTGAATATTCTCTAATGATTTCAACATACTTTTATAACTTAGATGGAATTTGAAGCATTCTTCTAGACCTTGTCACTTTTTCAAGTTAACTATAATTGCCATTTTTACATATTTCTTGGGGAAAATCATAGTTTTAAATATAAGGCCTCTAAAAGTAGATATCTGCATTAGAATATTTAAAACCCATTGCAAATGTACTAATATTGCCTAATTGCTGACAAAATGTGAAAGTACACCTTGAGTGAAAACTCATTATGCAAAATAAGTCTTTCAAACAACCCTTGCCCAGAAAGGCCAGGCAGGGAAGGAAAATTACTCTCTGCATCAGATTGCTTTTGCCCTGTCTTAGCAAAGTGGATTGCCAAAGCAAAAACCAATGAACCAGAGCTGATAAAACCCTGGGCATCACTTCTTTGGCTATAGCTTTGAAAGAAAGCCTCGTATCAGGGCACTATTGTGAGTACATGTGATGTACTCTGGGCACCAGAGCCCACTTGGAGGTGGTCACTGAGCATGAGGAAGAGGGTTGCTTAGCAGCCATTGCTGGGTCAAGGTCAGAGTAGAAGACACTGGTACACATGTGATGACTCTTCCACACTGTGCTCACTAGGTCCCAGGAGAGTCCCCACCACATGGGGAGTCTTAGCAAGCTGGGGATGCATCAGCTAAGTTACTCTGTGTCTGGAGGAATTTCTGGTGAGGCAGTGTCAAAACCAGTGTGGAAGAAGCTAAAAATAAAAGAATGCCTCTTTCATAGCTTCCTCTCCTGGCAATTTTTCCTCCCTGAATCCCACTTAAAAACTGGGATGCTCAAAGGTCATGAGGACATCTACCTGTGGTCCTGAAACAATACCAGGGCCTTGATTTCCTCCTAAATTAAAAATACAGTGTATATTTACATTGTCTTAAAACAGACCCATGAATCGCTGTGCTGCCAACAGCTCTATCACTTCCCACCCTGGAAGTACTGTGCCTACCCCTGTAGCACCCCAGAGTCCAGTCCAGATACTGACAAGGTCTACAAAGTATAGGACCTCTGACCTGTCTTCTGGCCCAATCAAGCTGTGGTCTGTAAAGGTTCAAACTCTGGCAGAAGACACACTGCCTAGAGCAAACTTGTTAGGCAAGGCATATTTGCCTGAGTTGGCCTCTTGAGGGGTAATTTTATCATTTAATGATGAAGTTTTTTAAAAAAGACTTGCAAGAACCCCAACAACAGTTAATTTAAAAAATATAAACCTAAGTAGAAAGCTGCATATCTAAATATAGTCATTTATTAAGTTCAGTAGCTCCCATTAAAGCATTATACGGGTTGAGGAATCAAGGATGGCAGTGTTACTACACATGTATGTTTTACAGGCTACGCTGCAGAGTAAAATTATGTCCGGCCTTTACTGGACAGGGCAGAGAACAGTCTTGCTCTAAATTCTAACCAGCCCATATGAGGAAAGGTGGATTTCATTCCACTGTAGCATTTCATAAATAAATATTATCCAGCTCTGTTTTAGAGACTGTTAAATCTGGAAGAACATAGGTCGAACTTGAACATACTGACTTATGTCTGAAACCATCCAGTATCCCAGGGAAGCAGGAAATATGAAAAAGTTACCATAAAGATCATAGCAAGAAAGTGACAAATGATTACAGGTCAAGGATGAGGAAGAAGGAGGTGGTGCTGTGCACAGGGGAGGAATCTGAAACTGGCAGCAGCTCATGGTTCCAGGTATTTTTTTTTAATCAACTCTGGAGCTAATCGACATAGACAGAACCACATTTCACCATTTATTTCATTAATTAAATATCCCAATAACATAAGTAGTACTGGATCCTGTGAAATTATTGGCACCCTATGGCTAGTACAAAGGAATTTAACTCTGGGTTTTTAACCATTTTAGAGACAGTGTGTTCTGGAATAAGCATTCATAGAAAAGGAAATCTGTTTTTATATATACACATATATCACATATTAAATATGATAAATATTGGTAAATATGTTTATTAACATGTATTAGTAACATATATTAGATAGATAGATAGATTAGATTAGATAGATAAATGCCAAGAACATTACATCCCATAATGCATCTTCCAGAGACATTTTTAAATCTTCCTAACATGAAATGAAGCCAAAATAGTCGTGCTATAATTTGAGTGATTAAATCTCTTCATCATGGATGATCATAACAGCTGGAAAGTCTATAGTTCCAGCCTATTTTGAATAAGAATCTGAATTTTCTTTCACTGTGCAATAGCCCCGAAATAGCTGATGTAATTTAGCTCAAATATTCCACAGGGATTTCTTTTTCAAGAGGTGCCTCTTTCAGGCCCATGGAATGTCAAAGTCAACCCTGAGGAAAAGATGGGTGGCAGGACCAAATGGAAACCACTTGGAAACCCACCTGCTTTGGTGTCCGATTACACACATGATGATGTAATTTACTATAGGCCATAGCTTCAGATGCTACAGGATCAAAGACATTTAATTCACATGAAACAGATCAGTTCTCCCTCATACATATTTTAGCTAAGCTTTTTGAACCCTGCAGTTTTATCTGAAGATTATCAGAGATAATACAAATTATCAGCCTAGAAAATAAACGGAAGCCTCATTTGTCTTGACCAGGCGTGAACAATGGAGACTTGGACAGAAGGAACCCAGGTGAGAGGAGGGGAGGCAGTGACTGTGGGGGTGTCTGTGGCCCACTGCAGAGAAACAGAAAAAGAAGAAGCACTTCTTTACAAGGTCAAGTGGACCAAAGCCATGTTTGTAGATCCTGAGGGAGGCAGACCCTACTTGACCCAACCCGAAACCTTGAGAAAGCGATCAATAAAAGGACCATGGCCAAGTAGCTCTCAGGGGAATTCAGTATAAACTAGCTCAACTCATTTTCACACTACTTGACTAGAGAGATTAGGAAAAAGGGCTGGTTGGTGACTGGGAAGAATGTCCCTAAAATGATAGTAGATGTCACCAGAAAAATGAGATTTCCAGACAATATTAGATAAGGGCATTAGCTATATAATGTGACACTTGCCTATAATTTTAATTTATGTGCAATGAAAATTCCTGCTAATAAAGCTATTGTAAGGTACAAAACATTCCAT